GCCACGTCCGAAGACGTTGAGAATGACTGGAAAAGACTTGTCGGTGAAATCCGAGATTCTGCGCGGCCCATTGGCTATAAGAAAGGATTTAAGCGTGCACCGGACCGACGGGCCTGGTTTTGGAACGAAGATGTCTCAGCCGCGGTCAAGGCAAAGAAAGACGCGTACAAAGCTTGGTACCTCAACCCTACGGAAGAGACCAGAATGAGGTACCGCGAAGCCAAGCGAGAAACCAAACGGACAATTGCTAGTGCCATTAAGAGCAAGGCAGAAGCTCTTATCGCCGATCTGGATACCAAAGAAGGAGAGAAGCAGATCTACCGCCTTGCCAGAGCTCGCTCCAGAGCAACGCAAGATTTCACGAGCACCACGACGTTCATTAAATCTGGCAATGGAGTGCTCCTGTATGACTTTGAGAAAATCAGGAAGCGCTGGCAAGATTACTTCCAGGAAATCTGCAACGTCGAGTATCCGCATCCGGCGCTTCCAAATGAACGACCCAAGGGCCCATCCCACGTATCACCGAGGATGAAGTTGAAGGTGCCATCAGGAAAATGAAGAACAGGAAGGCTACTGGTCCAGATGACATTCCCGTGAAGTATGGAAGCACTTCGGAGGTCGCTCCTATCTAACGCAGCTTTTCAACAAATGCCTGGAAGATGGAGTGATCCCGACGGACTGGTCAAAGAGTGTCACCGTGCCAATATATAAAAAGAAGGGAGATATCGCTAACTGCAGCAACTACCGACCGATTCGCCTAATGTGCCACACTTTGAAAGTTTTTGAACGTGTGCTGGACGCCAGGCTAAGGGAAATAGTCAACATCAGTCGGATGCAGTGCGGATTTCGACCTGAACACGGGACCACAGACGCCATCCACGTTGTTCGCCGTCTGATGGAAAAGGCTAGAGAATGGAACAAGCCACTTCATTTGGCTTTTCTGGATCTGGAGAAAGCCTTCGACAGAGTGCCGCGTCAACTCATTTGGGAAGCTCTTCGGTATCAGCAAGTTCCAGAAGCACTCATTAAGGCAGTCCAGCTGACCTACTTGAACTCTACAACCTCTATCCGGACACTCCACAATTCCGGGTGGCTGTCGGTGTTCACCAGGGATCGGCTCTTTCGCCACTGTTGTTCATTCTATGTATGGACTACGCTACGAGGAACATCAGGAAAGAGCCACCTTTGACGCTGGGATATGCTGACGATGTACTGCTGATAGACAGATACGGAATACATGTGCACCACCGCAACAACATCGTCAATCGTAGTCGATGGAACACCACTCTCCAGAGCAACGACGTTTCCGTATCTCGGATCTACGCTTGCCGGACGGAGATGCCAAGGCCGACACCACTGCAAGAATCAACGCTGCATGGAGCAAATGGAGATCTGTTACTGGCGTTCTCTGTGATAGGAGAATACCAATACGCCTGAAGTCAAAGATCTACACTTCAGTCGTGAAGCCAGTCGCCATCTATGGAGCCGAGACTAAACAGATGACGGCGAGGAAACAAGAGCCTACGGTGTATGGAGATGAGAATGTTACGATGGAGTCTGGGACACACGCGACTCGACCGAATCCGCAATGAAACAGTCCGCGACAGGATGAAGGTCCACCCGATTGCCAACTCCCTTGCCGCAGCTCCGTTCTCCGTTGAACGTGACCATACCAGCTCGTCTCCGCTGGTATGGTCACGTTCAACGGAGACCTCCTGATGCTGTATCGAAGTCCGCTGATAAGGTCGTCTTCACCGGTAAACGTCCAAAAGGCCGACCTAGAATGCGGTGGAAAGACAACCTGAATATGGACATGACTGCTGCTGGCCTGTCCGCAGCCGATTCTATTTACAGGGACCGTTGGAAAGCGTTGGTCAAAGAAGCGTACCCGACAACAGTTGGACAAGAACGCTAAGAAGAAGATATATGCAGAGACTACTCGCGTGCAAGCAGATCAGTTCATTCAATGTGACAGTCAGCACTTTCAGTTACCCTGAATCCTTTTTGTCCTTTTTTGTCCCTTTTTGTCTTCATACCTGATAAAAAATAATATCACTGAAAAGTATTTAAGGGAGTTGCTTAACACCAACTTGCAGCACTGCTTGGATAGGTGCTCACGTGAGCACATCATGAATCAAAAGTTCCACTATAACAATTTTCAAGAGCTCTCACCACACTTCCACGTGTTTTTCCCCTACAGCTTTATCACAGCACTGCCAGTTAAAGGCACGTTCCGCGATAAACTAAGGCTAGGTTCTCATAACCGTGCACGATGGTCAAGCAGGCAACGTCAGAGGCTATACCGCTTTTAAAAGTTGAAAAACAGCAAGCAAAACGCAGGGCGCTCAGGTTTTAGGCCCATTGGCGCCCGATAGGCCCATGCCGGCCTCCAGTGACCGTGTCGTTGTGAGACTGCCATTGCGCTCTCTCGCCCGTCGTTTTCTGGCCTCTCTCGTCTCTTATCAGTGTATCGCCGCCTTTCGCAATTCACAATTGATCTTGACCACCTTACGCTCGTCCGGTGATCATGATCAATTGCAATAAAGAGGGTCTTATTCCGGGCGCTTTTTCGTGCTTCCTTCTCCTTCAATAAGTCAACAAACACACGGCAGTTCTATTTTTGAACCGTATTACCTATGAGCTGTGGTCGTGGGAATTGTCTTTAAAGGCAGTTCGCATGATAATTTGGTACTCTGTAATCTGTCTGCAATGGCAGCAGGGGTCTAAATAGTGGAATAATGGCGAAGAAGCAAAGAGAAATGGTGAAAAACCTGCAAGAAAACCTTTGTTCTACACGACTCAGAAAGCATTTTCGGACGAGTTCCCGTTGGCATCGTGCCAATAACCGCTACGGTAGATACGAGTGCATGTATGTGCTCATATATCCTTGCTGCACCGCACCCGCTTCACATCAATCCCTTCGCTAATGAAGCGATACGAGCATCAGGATCGGTCAGACCTTTATGGGCGGACGGGCGTGGTGGGTGTGCGGGTCCATATGGCACTATAAGGTTACCTTCCTTGGAATAGGCGCCACGCTTGCTCACCTGTATCACCTGTGCTCCCGTTGATCATCGAGTTCCTCGAGCGGGCGCCAGTAACGTCTCCATTCGTCCCTGCAACGTGCAAGAGTTGCCCAATGAACTCTCTGCTCGAGGGACACGATGAACTTCATACCATTCGTTCAGAGCTTTCACGAAGAAGTCTGACCATCGCATAGGCGGTCGTCCCAGGCGTTCACGGTGACCATCCCGTTGGGAATCCTGTCGGTGATCGCTCTGGTCCAGCGGTCGTCCTCGAAACGCATGACGTGTCCGGCCCACCTGATCTTCGAAACCTTGGCAAATGCGGCGGCGTCTCTGATCTTCGATCGTTGGCGGAGTGCGGAGCTCCGGATTCCCTCTCTCACTTGCGTGTAGCAACAAACTCCGAGCATCGCCCTTTCGATGGCGCGTTGAATAACGCCAACCGCATGCTCATCCTGCTTTCGTAGAGTCCAAGTCTCTGAGGCGTACGTCAAGGCAGGAAGGACCGCGGAATCGAAGAGGTGGGCACGGAGCTTGGTGTTCTTCGTCTTCTTCGCTACTCCCTCGATGTTCTTGAAGGCTCCCCAAGCCGCTCGCTTCCTCCTGCTCAGCTAAGTCATTCATCATATTGATTTCACGACCTAGGTACACATAGCTAGAGCATTCAGAGATGGTCGTTCCGTTGAGCGTGAATGGGGCATCAGAAACCAATCCGTTTCTCATGAACATCGTCTTCGTTAGATTCAGCCGTAGACCGATTTTTCCACACGCGCAGTCGACAGCCAGCATTCGTTCCGCTTGCTCGATGTTTGGTGTTATCAAAACCAT